CCACGTGACTATAATAGCCGGCCACGTGACTCTACTGCTACTTCTCCATGGGCACATTTTCGCCGTAAATTTATTTTATAACATGCTTTTGTCATTCAGGGTGTTAATTTTTTTCCCCCTTTGCATATGTTATTTAAGGCAGAAAGACGTGTTTCTTTGTTTTTTTTTGTTTTTCTCTTTTTTTCGGTAACACAAATTATACAAGGGCTTTTGTAGTACGGAAATGCCGAAGATTCTTTGAAAAAGATAGATTTACAGACTGCGTGCAATATAAACGCTCATTGTTGACGTTGTTGTTTCTAGTTTTGAAAGAGTTTTGCGTGTTCCGATGTTTTGATGTTTTTTGACCTATGCGCCTTGGGCATCGCACTTCCCGAAGGTGATTTTTTCAGCAAATTGCAATGATGCCTTGCGAGCTTTTGACAGATATCACACCTTTATCATTTTTCTCTATTTATGGGTTGATTACACTCCATTATCCCAAATATTATGCGCCTTATTAAATACCGTGGTTTCCGGACTTGTCGGCACCTATAGTCCGTAGGGGCAAATTTTATTTTAAAGAAACGTTTTGCTTTGGACACTCCGCACCTTGCGCCTAGTCGACACGTTAAAAAAAATCATACACAACACACTTTGGAATAAAACCTGCTTTCTTATCTTTAATCACAATAAAGCTATTATACAGCGCGTCCCCAAAAAAACATTTACCGGGTTTTGTTCCGCAAAACTCAGCTGCGCACCGCCGAACGCTCATTTTCCACCCAAATGTAGCGCTAACGGTTCGAACCATATTCTAAAGTGTCGGCACTAAGCGCTACTTTATTCAAAAGTCATAACTTTTAAGTGTTTTGCTGAAAGTTTTAACGGGTAAATGGGGCCCGTTCTTGCACGTTTAACCTGGCGCCACTGGATGCATGGTGCCATTCAGCTCCATGCATAACCTTTTTCGCAAGGGCGCCGCCATCTTGAATTTCGTCACTTCCAGTATGGACGAAAACATTGTTCTGCCGTCGCCACGCCAATAGAAGGCATTAAAGATATAAGCATAACGGTCACCCATTCTCGTTTTGCCTCGCCTCCATATGTTTACAATTTGCGGGTCCAAATGTTTTATCATTTTCAGTCGCCCATTCCGGATATTTCTATCATGTGACTGGGGACGAGAGTAAACGAAAAAGGTGTATATTCGGGAACGCTCCCGTCGGCCGCCATTTTTCCATAAAACGTTTTAGAAAATCGTTTATAACTTTTTGAAGAATATAACCGTTAGTTTTAAAATTTTTCATTCCGGTTCGGACCGTTAGGGCTACTCGGACTCAGACAGGCCATGAAATCAACTCTCGGGTACTTAATTTTTTTGATAAAAACAGAAGCAATATCTGTTTTTGTTTTACTTCTTTTTTCGCCTTCTATGCGACATTACAAAGATTTTTTTTTTTATCCGGCAATGTTCAAAATATATGGTGTCGTAGAAAATTCAACAATGAGCACTAAAGACGAGTTCATCTGTTCTCCGCGATTCGGCACATTGACAATAAGGTTGTCGACTTGCTTTTTCCACATCTTTCCCTGCAATAGTCTCTCCAATGTTTTTTTTTTTTTTTTTTTTTATGAAAACCAGTGTCAGCGGGTATGGGCAGTACGGCTGTAGACAATGGTAATCATCCTCCTGCACCAGTTCAGTCGCACTACCGCCGAACCTGACCCAACGACGACGAACACGACCAGATGAAGGTGCTCGTAAAAACGTCCGCAATTTGGGCTCGAAACCACTTACTAGTTCTTGAGGTGACCTGGTACCACGGTATCGTCCGTTGTGCAGCTGAAGAGACAGATTCGAATAACTGAATGAAGCGAAAATTGCATAGCAGATTAAAACACAGCCTCGAACGCGCTGAAAACGAAGCCAACTAAATTAAAGCCATTCTATGGCAACCAGTGCTTCAGCGCGCTCTAGCCGCAGGTCAGGTAACTACTGAGATAAAATGACCGGTTAAGAGTCCAGGGGAAGCTCCTGACACCTCTTTCCACTTGAGCAGAGAGAGAACGCTGAATGTCGCCTCCTGTGCAGCGTTCGCTCTAAAGTGCAAAGAGGTCGGACCGACTATGGAAGGCAGCAACTGGAGGAAAGGAGGAAACGAGAGCCCACCGAGACGTCAGAACGCCGAGCTATAGCTGCAATACTTAGTGGGAAAATATTCTTGAAAAAAAAAAAGGGGTTAGAGGTGAATTTTGTATTATTTTTCACCAGTGAATTTTGAATATCACGTTTGTTTTTCCTTAAGATGCAACTGAACGCGAGAAAATACGAAAAACCTTTGACCAGTCGTTACGTCATAGAAGGATCTTTCGGCCGCCATGCGCGTGTGGCTCGTGTGGGCCGTGCACCGCACGCGAGCGCTGCCCACAAGAGCAAGCTTGCCAGCTGTGTTCCTCCGCACTGATAGCAGTCGTGCCGTCCTTTTTTGACATTTTGAATGCCAAAAATTTTTAATGCCATTTTTGAGTGTAAACTGTCCCATGGAGCGCCGCCGGCGTTGTCCGTGACCGCGGAAAACGGTTCCTGAATAAATGGCAGTTGAAAATCCAGCTGGCCTTAGCGGGGCGCGCAGTTTGTAGGAACACGCTACGTATACGAACGCTTTCGCATTCCTACACGTAGGCAGTCGTGTTTTTTTTTGTTTTTGTTTTTTTTTTTTGTTTTTTTTTTTTTAGTAGCAAGATTGCGCGTGCATAGCGTTGATAGGCGCTGAAGATGCGTGAGAGCGGAGATTCCGAAAACTCTGTATATGACGCCACGCTCCGGACAGGAGGGTGCTTCAGCGGTACTTTGAAAATGATTTTCTGCAACCTCCCTGCACCACATTGAAAAAAAATATTCTCGATATTAGTGATCCTGGAGGACAAATGTAGACAGTTTAAGCGTTTCTACCTAAATACGGAACCGCTTCAGTTTCCTTTTAATTGTTCCGACTGAAACCGTCGAACGGATCAGAGCGTTAGAACGCAGAACGCCGGCGTCCGGCGTTTGGCTTTCCGATTCCAAGGCGTTCAACGAGTGCCACTGACGCCGGAAGTATATTTTTGAGTGTTTGTGTGTGTGTGTGGGGGGGGGGGGGGCGGGGGGGGGGGGGCAGTCATGAAGCCAAGTTTTTTTTTTGTTTGTTTTTTTTGTCATATTTTTTTATTGTTTATGTACTATTTTTTATCCACTATTTCAATCTGAGTTTTGTTTACTATCCTCGCGGGTTCCTTTATTTCTTTCATTACGTCGTGTAAGGAGCGCCGGGCGCCGGGCGCCTGGCGTCTCCCTTCCTAGCATTCTTATGGGGGGGGGGGGCTTTGTATTCAGTTGGTCACAAGCAGTTGGGTGATCTCAAACGAATGCTTCGAAAGCTCGCTGCACCTACCGCGTTCATCAGCACGAAACAAACGCTCGGCGTAATCTGTTATTTTAGACTCCCTGCGGCTGACGTCATAGCACTGAAAAGTGAGCGTATGTCGAATTTGGCATGCTTTTTATTTGCCGATTTTACAAAAACTATGCTGGATTTCGCGATGCTAAAAAGCCCACCGGAAATGGTAAAGAGCGGCGATTCGGAAAATATAGTTACGCTCAATTTCTCGTTTTAGAGCGCGCCGAAATGAGTAGACCAAATCCGCGGGATGGAGCACGCGATCCGAAAGGAGGCGCTCCGCCTCCAGATCCCCAATCGAACATGACCACTCCTCCGGAGAACACTGTACCTCCGGGATCGGCAGATGCCTTCCCGTCATTCACCTTCCCGGGAACACGCCTCCCCCGGTCCCGGAATTTTAAGCGCATGTTCTCGCAATCGCGGCGCTAACAACACATGTTTAACGTACGAGCGAAGTTAATCATGATGTGAAAGATGCGTGTCGATAAGCAATACGCATCGGTGTAGCCCACTTGCCTCTTCATCCACTCGTGAATGGTGTCCAGTACTTCTCAATTTTCGGCCTATTTCGCGGATGTTCGAAAAGGCAGTCGAATCCATGCCGGATACACAAGCAATCCTCGTCGCCGCTGACGCTCGAGCCGCTGCTGCTGGAGCAGCTGCTCGAACAACTTTACGAGTAATTGCCATCAAACAGCAGCAGCAGTGAGCGAGCGGCCATTACTAATTCTACCGAGGCGACCGGCGGGAAAGGAAGTCACGTGTTCGCGCCGAGGTTCTGGCCAAGCTGCACCATGACTTCCGGTCGAATCCGCCGAAACCAGCGGAGCGACTTTTCTCGGATCCGGATCGAGATCTGGAGCGGGAGGCGATCCAAAACGACGAGTGGAACACATCCGTCTCGATTCCGATGGCCCAGCGAAATAGGCGCGCTCCAGAAAAAGTAGATCCCGGCGCGCTCCAAAACGACCAGTGGAATTCGCCAGTTAGTTGGGGTAGCTCAAGAAATCGCCGGAGTCGAGTAAGCTCGAGCTGGAAGCGAGACAACAGAAAGACCTTCTACCGTTCTTATCATGTAAGTTGCAGACTTGTACAGAAACCATTAAAAGTAATAAAATTATTTGTAATCCATTACTTTTTGGAGCAATTTAGCAATAATTTGGATTCATTTATTAGGAAGTAATCTCATGAGTAATCTTATTACTTTTCGGAGTACTAAAATTACTTGCAACCGTTGCCATTTTCCCCTTTCCTTTTAATTGAGCCCTTTGTTTTCACATGTTTTTTTACCAATGAATCCTCGAACCAAGTCTGACAGGGAGTTGGTTTGCCAAGATTAGTGAATTAAGCGGATAAGCAGTTTACAATTCGGTGACCCTATAATTCAATAATGGACAGTCCGAAAGACCCGTCTTCAAACCGGGAGAAAAATTTGTCGTTTTGAAAATCGGAAGTCACCGGAAAAGTAATGGTTACTTTTTCGAGTAACGTCCAATTACCATTTTTCGCAAATAATAAAATAATCTAATTGAATACTTCATAACCTAGAATAATTGTAATTGTAATCGAGTATTTTTTCTAAAGTAACGTGTACAAGACTGCATGTAAGTGACTACGGTCGAAACATGCACGAACGGGCTAAAGTTGGCCAGTGAACACTCGCTGCAGGGAACCGCGACTACAAACTCACTGGGGGCGGAGGTGGTCGAGGGCGTCTCCTCTTCCTCCGTCGCTTCCTCCGTTGTGTCCTCGCTTTTCATCTCCTCTTCGGTCGTCGTCCTTGGAGGGTCCTTTCTCCGGCCTGCGGGTTGGAACCTTCCTAACGATAGGTGAAGTTTAATATTGACGATTTTGTAATGAAAGCATCGGCGTTAGAACTACAATTCCCTCGGTGAAAACAAAGGCAACAAAAGGCCCATGTATACATAGATCTTTGCGATGCCTATCACCCGGGCAAAAAATGCTGAGTCACTGAGCTGTAGACGCATGCGCAGCGTTCCGCACAGCAGAGCAACAGCGCATGTTCAGAAGGCGTTCCACAGCCCAGCAGACAAAGATGGCAGCGCGCAGAAGCCGATTTTTTGCAGAGGTCTATACTTCGTTCCACCATAAATCAGAGCCAACGTTACCAGCCGATGAAAGTCAATCGAGCAGGGTCAAAAAAGCGCAACGTCACTGCGCTCTCGTAGTTATTTCGTGCACACGCTATCCATCGTCCTAACCAATCAAGCAAGCACTGTAAGCGCGCCGCGATCTCGCGCCATTAGTCTGTCCACCTGTATTTACACGGCGTGCGATTTGGCCTGATCCTGGCACACCTCGTGCGTATGTTTATCCCCCAAATGTGCCCACGTGCGCTTGTTTTGATTTCTGATTTAGTGATTTTCGATGACGCTCAGCAAGTTTCTAATTGAAACCATATGTCTATTTTCTCTGATTAAAAAGTTAATTCACATATTTAGTTAACAATTCGACTTATGGGGACAATTATCCCCTGTATTATTTCCCCCTGACCGTAAAGTTCATCTCCCCAAACCGCATTAAAGGTAGCTTTCAAGTTTACTTTTCTTTCTATTTTTTTTTTTTTACAGATTTGTTAAGTTTAGACAGAAGCACCCTGTATATTGTTTGGTTTTCCATCTAACTTCTAGAAACAAGTAGGACAACACAAAAGGATGTTACGCGTTTGGTCTTCCTCTACCAAAACTAAGTCTATTAAAACATTTAACCCGATTAATCGTCACCCTTTAATCGGTTAATTAATTGATTTGATTCATCGATCTCATTCATTTCCATAGATAATAACTAAAAAGGCAAAAAAATGGCTTTGTTGAATATGTGACAAACGGCGCAAAATACAATTTGGATATCGAATCAACCTCGACTTTGTGGTTGAGAACAGCTCTAAGACACTCGCACTCAGAGATAATTACTTGAGCTGCGTAAGGCAAAGAGGTTCGTTGATATTCTCCGTCAAGGCCAACCTCCCTTGATTGTTCACAATAGTAGTCTCTGCTACGCTAAACGGACAATCGAACGGGGTTGACATGGGCGGAACAAGTTGCTACCTTTTGCAATTGTCTCAAGTTACAAGTCTCGCCGCTACAGTTAGGGCAAACACCTAGAGTTTTCCTTTCATATAGGTGTACTCGTCCACGTCTGCGTAATAGAATCTTTGCATTTTACTTGTGTTTACTTAGTTAAAATTTAACCGATCAACCGGGCAAAAAAAATTACTCGCGATTAAAGCATTAATTTATTAATCGGTAGGTTAATCGATCAATCACCCAACCCTAACCAAAAAACTAAATTCTAAAGCTTTTGTGGGCTCTGTAATATTCTATTCACAATACAATACTGAATTCAATACTGATATACTAATAAATAAATTGGAGTAAAAAAAAACACACACACTGATCAGCCAAAACATTTTGACCGTTTACCTAATACCCTCTTGATCCACCTTTGGCAGGCAAAATAGTCGCAGCGGTCGTCTGTTCTGGAGTCCCTTATTCAACAGAGTGCGATGAGCTGTGTGCTCAGAAATAGTTGTACTTTTACCTACATGGTATCTAGCTGCCAGTTGAGCCACAGGAGCCGTTTATTTCATTTCACCGAGCAGGGGGCCTTCGACGTGTACATTCGTGCGATGCAACCTGGACGTGGAACGCCTTGGCGTGTTCCACCGTCGTTCTTCCCCTTTTAATATTACTAACGAGGGCAGCTCGCGAACACCCGACAAGCTCTCCTGTTTCCGGGTTACGTGTTCCTAGTCGTCGGGTCATTACAGTCTTCTTTTTCTCAAAGTCGCTTAAATAAGCAACCTCTCCCATTACAAGCACCCGTAGTCGACGAAACGATATTCCCCGGCATCTGTTAACTTCTTCCCGCATCAGCAGGCGGTATAGATACCGCGGATGGCGCGTCAGCTATTCGCGACTCCAGCGAAATCGACGCCGCGTAGCGGCAGCGCCGAGAAGCTCAGGAGAGGAGGTCGTTTCGACTCTGTCGTCTGCTATCGCTGCTTGGTTCTCGGAGGCAGCATAGAAACAAACATCGTTTCCAGTGATTATTTTTTTTTATGATTCCATCGTGTCATTTCTACGCACTGACCAGAAGAAGGTTTCTACCGTCGAAAAATCGCTTTTCTTTCAAATGTAACACTGATTTTACGTTGCAGTGCAGGAATTTGTGGTGTTCCGCGTGCTGAACGACGAGAACGACCTCCTTTCGTCCGCCATTTTGCCTGAGCAGCGCGCCCTCTATAGTTCGCTGTAGTCGCGAATAGGAGCGCTGATTCCCACAGTGTGGTAGAGTAACTGTATATATAGGCTCTGCTTGCAGAGCAAGGGTATCGCGTTCCTTTTCCTTGCGCCACCAACTCCGCATTGGCCGAGAAGCGGTCACGAGCGCCGAGCTGGATCTACCCTTCACGAGGGAAAGCGATCTTGCAGTCGCCAAGTTTCGGACTTAGCGTGTTTCTCCGTTTGCGTTTGCGAAATATACATCCTACGCTAAGATCGAACGAACTGGAAGGTTCATTGACCATTGAACACTATGTGTAGCCACTGGGTAGACTATATTCGCGTTGTTTTATAACTAGAGCCATGTTTTAAAACATGTTTCGAAGGTCTGGAAGCAGACGATACGGAGGACGATAGCGTTGCTCGAGTCTGAGACGCTTGCGTAGTGATACGCGATCGGCACATCCGGGCACTTCGAACCAGACAACAAGGAGTAGTTACGGTTTGCAAAAAACGTCGTTTTTTTTTTTTGTTTTTTTTTTTTGTTTTGTTTTTTGCAACTATTTTTTGTTGAGTGCATAGAAAGGAACAAAGGCGAATGACGGGACGACGGCGCACGGGCGGCCCGTCGCCGCATTCCCGCGAGGATCATGGATCGATGGCGGTTTGAAGGGACCGCCCCATAAGTCGGTTTATTAACTTATCCCGCTGGGATTTACTACAGAGGTGCTCGAAGCTGGTGCATTTGTTAATTGACTGTATGAATACATAAAACCTCCGGAGTCAAAAAAAAATACAAAAGGTCTTTTTTATGAAAAAATTATCGCTAAGCCTTTGATCTCAAAATCATCAGAAAATCGTAGTGGGCTATTCTGGCGTTTACTACGATTGAAAAAATTTGCGAAATGGAAGAAAATAGACTTGGCTTACCTGTTATTCACTTCATTTGGCCAAAGTAAGCGCCAATGTAACACAGAATATTTTTAGTGTACATGCAAAGTATAAAAAATACTTTTTTTGTCCTTTTTTTTATTTATTTGGATAAGCAAACCTTTCCAAAATTTTAGCGAAAGCTTCCACGATCTTCAGGCACCTCTACTAAATCCTAGTGCGATACGTTAAGAACCCGATTTATGTTGTCCTTTAAAACAGCCATCAATCCCTTTGGCCCACGCGATATCTTCTCTGCTCCCCACGCCGCAGCACGCACCCCACAGACACTACATCCGTGCCTCCGGGTCTCCTGCAGAAGTGACGGTCGCTTCCCGCAGTGCGGCCTTGGATCTAACATGGCCGCCTTCATAACATTATTACGATACTCTGCTGCGCAAGGGGAACATATACAGTTACTCTCTATAGTGTAAGAGTGATCTCAGTGTTGGCGGTAACGCGTTGCCGGTAACGGCGCTACCGGCAACGCGTTACTTTTTTCGGTGATGTAGTAACGTACCGTTACTTTTTGAAAAGAGTAACGGGTAAGACCTAAAAACACGCTTACATTTTTTCGTTGTTTTTTAGAGCGCAGCTCTTAGGGGCCCGTTTCCGGCTTGAGCGGCGTCGGCGTCGCCGTCGCCGTCGGCGTCGGCGTCGGCGTAACCGCGAGGTCACGTGACCCCCGAGGTCACGTGACCCACCCAGGTCACGTGACACCCCTGGGTCACGTGACCCCCTAGGTCACGTGACCCCCAGAAGTCACGTGACCCCTGAAGTCACGTGACCCCTTAGGTCACGTGACCCCCTGAGGTCACCTGACACTTGAGGTCACGTGACCCCCAGAAGTCACGTTACCGCCTTGAGGTCACGTGACCCCCTAAGGTCACGTGACCCCCGAAGTCACGTGACTTCTGGGGATCACGTGACCCCCTAAGGTCATGTGACCCTTCAGGTCACGTGACCCCCAAAGGTCACGTGACCCCCGAGGTCACGTGACCCCCAAAGGTCACGTGAGCCCCTGAGGTCACGTGACCCCATGAGGTCACGTGACCTCACGGGGTCACGTGACCTCACGGGGTCACGTGACCTCAGGGGGTCACGTGACCTGAAGGGTCACATGACCTTAGGGGGTCACGTGACCTCAAGACGGTCACGTGACTTTTGGGGGTCACGTGACCTCAAGGGGTCAGGTGACCTCAGGGGGTCACGTGACCTAAGGAGATCACGTGACCTTAGGGGGTCACGTGATCTCCTTAGGGGCCACGTGATCTCAAGATCCACGTGATCTTGAGGTCACGTGACTTCAGGGGGTCACGTGACTTCTGGGGGTCGCGTGACTTCTGGGGTCACGTGACCTAAGGGGGTCACGTGACCCCCTTGAGGTCACGTGACCTCAAGGAGTCACCTATCCCTCAGTACGCTTCCATCTTCCTCCTCAAGAGCTGCGCTCTAACCGGCGTTACAGGGAATTGTAAACGGCTTTCATTTGTTTACACCCAGGGTTATATAGGAAGTGTTGCTAGGAACGGAAAGGGGAGAAAAAAGGAGAGGGGAGGAGAGGGCTCGGGTGAGAGAATAGCTGCGTGGCGTGAGGTCTCTTTTCCCGCTAAGTTTAGCGGGGAAACAAAATGGTGGTGTAGGTCATATGACGTCAGGCCACGTGCACGTGACGCGACTTTTTTTTTCGTGTTTCTATACTTTGTTTTACTCTAAGTCTAGACGCAGACGACGCTACGAGCAGATGGAACCAATCAGAGCGCTTCAAAAGGGCACGATCATGGTGTTCCTCGGGTTTCTGTACGTGTTCTATCATCGCTGAACCAATCATAAACAAAAAAAAAAGGTTAGTGACTAGCGTGTTCGACGCTGCTTATGGCCCCATTAGCTCGCAGCGTCGGCTGCGACTGAATTTAAACGAATACCACAACGGAAATTTCGGCGCTCATTTTTTGGTCTATTCGTGTTCAAGGGAGCAGTGTTACGTAAGACACACCAATCTCTTGTTGGGAAAGACGGGAAAAGGAATTTAAAACGAATTAAAGGGGCCACGAAACAATTTTTCTGCTTTTTCCTTCTTAGCTTTCCTCCTTAACTCACAAATCGAGCATTGTACCAAACGGTTCAAGAAGAGAAAAAGCCGGGATTCCCAACTTGCTCGGACCCTCGTTTGTGTACCCGGACACCACCACTCTCCCCCTAGGAGATTAGCTTCTCGCTCAACACTCGGACAAAAGTTGCTTTCCCTAACCCGCTCGCCCTTAAGCTAGCAGTACTGTGGAAGCTACTACGTGGTCGTCCGGCTAGATACACTTCTGTTTTTTGCCACGTGATCAAGCTCTTTCGCGTATACCCACGCGCAACGAATGAGGTCAGGTGATGAAAGGAAGGCGGCTGATTGGTCCGACAAGCGCGTAGCTTCCACCACAATGTCAGCTTAGGTGTGAAGGGAATAAGTGAGGTCCGGTGTCGGGTGATGTGTGACGCGTTTTGCGTACCGCGGATGTATCGTGAAAAGGCAGAGCGGTTTTGAAGGGAAGGAGGTACGAAATAGTGCGCTGTGTTTTCAAATATTTGTACCGAAAATCACGCTTTTGAGTTTCTACCTTTCTTCTTTTAGCCCACTAAACGATATGTTATTATTAAAATCTCAATCTAAATTAATTTATCCCAGCCCAAAATTCATTTCACGGCTCCTATAAACGATTAGCAAAGAACACCTGGTGGATGTCGCTAACGCTTCGTTTGTAGTGCCCGTCTAGGAATCTTGACAGGTAGTGACGATAACTGTCTCGCCTCCTGCCACCACGAGAGAAGAGGGAATGGAGGAACTCCCCTCTCCCCGAGACTCTCTTTTGTGTGTCAAGACGTCGCTATTGTCCCTCTACAAGATTATAGAAGATTAACCCGTCAGTCGAAATTTATACACAAGCAGCTTTGGGGTTAGTTGCGGTGGCAGGATCGCTGGCGTGCTTCGGACGCTTCGGTGGCTGGAACGGCTAGGACATCCTCTCAACGTCAGCCTCGCCGCCGCGGCTTTGCTCGTCCCGAGACAATCTACGTCACAATTGCGGCGGACGTCACGAGCTCTCCGCTGGCTGCTCTCCGAGCGCTTGCCAGAGTGGGCCGTTTATAACGAAAAATACAGCCACCAGGCTCAAAATACAAACGTGCGATTGTCATTTACGGATATTGTGGATATTATTCAGTCGATTTCTGAACACGATGGGTATATTTCAAATTTTGTTGAAGCATTCTATTAAGCTGAAACGAAGTAGAGGCGATAAGCAATTAATTATTGCAGTCATTCAACATACCTTCAATATTTCGCCTGTATTTTCCCCACGCAAAAAGTCCCACATCAGTAAAAACACAAAGCCCCTGCCCTTGGTCCCAAAATAGAAAAAACCGCTATCGCCAAAACAAAAAAAAAAAACGCTATTACCGTTAATTGTTCAATAAAAAGTAATTCAAAGGTAACGTGCGTCACTTTTTATCGGTAACTGTAACGCGTACCTTTTATTTTGAGTTAACGTAGGTCTGTGTTAGGGTTCCTTTATTTTGTAAGTAACGAGTAGCGTATTTCGTTACTTTTTTTCGGTAACGCATACAACACTGAGTGATCGGAAACGTTTTTGCTGATCAGGGTATATAACACGCAACAATGGCATTTTCGGGAGACAGCACTCGTTTGTATAAAGGTCCGATCACGCCAAAACACGTATATGCGAGACAGCTCATGTCAATTTACGCTTCTAATTCAAATTAAGGTGATCAAATGCGTGATAAACCAGTAACTCTAGTACCAGTAAAAAAAATCTTAATTATTTTGACTTACTTTTTGTATCAGGAATCAACAAACCTTTAACCTACAACTTCTTTTTGTACATATTTAAAAATAAAATAGGGCGCTGCTACTATTGTTAAATATTGTTGGCTACTAGTCATAACAAAGTTAAAAGGTACAAATTCAATCTTCATTAGCACTCGAAGGTCACGGAAGTACTTTCTTGGCATACTTTTGAATAAAGTATTTAAAAAAAAAAATTTAAACTTTTCTTTTTACTTTTAATTATTAAGTTTTTTTGTTTTTTTTTATTTAAAATAACCCCAATTCAAATGCAAAGTAATTAACATTTTGATAAAGTTAAGCGTAACTAGCCGTTCTTTAAGAAAGTGAACATGGTCAATGAGGGTCTAATACCGACCATGTGTACCCGCGCCAATTTATAACGTAGATTTGTAAAGTATACGACAAATCTATTCACTCCAGAGTATCCAAAAGTGTGTGTGGCGTCACACGATCACTTATTTCACTCTACAAGAACAAGCATTGAGTGGTACCTACTTTTACCCGATTTCAGTGGTACTTGCCGTTTCCGAGCTGAAAAAGAAAGGACTTCATTCGAGTCAATCGTTCAAGTATAGCAAATGTCTGCCAGCCAGTTTGCAACTGATAGTTGTTAAATTGATGTCGCAACAGTGGGAAAAAGCTGACTCGTGCTTTTCTAAACAGGCTGTGCATTAGTGTGAAAGAACTGCGAAACAAAAATCGGCGATGAGAAATAAAGATGATTTCTTAGACACTCGGAAAATTATCATTTCATGGTAATGTTAATTTCACTATCCGTCCAGAGATATAGACGCTCTACACACGCGCCAAATTACAGCCGCCATTGCTGACATTCTCTTGTCTTACCGAGATGCCGAGCAACTGAAACGGTAGTTGACGATCCTCTACAAAGGCCGATGCTTTAAAAAAGGACAAAATTGAATCTAATATGACAATAACCTGGCCCGCTATGGTAATGATGAAGTGAAATAAACAGAATAAGAGGAAACAAAAACTGAAGGTCAGTTATGGCGGCGTCCATGCACAGCTGCTGCAAAGCGTCTATACAAACGGGCGAATTGATGAAACCGCATCCATATCACTTGTGGAGTGAACCGCGTCCATCATTTTAACTACACACACACAGATCACAGTACACGCACCGCTAGGAAAACCAGAGCGAAGATCAACCGGTGACAGCATCTAAACGGTATTAGCGCACACGTAGAAAGAAGGTACAGGATAGAGCGCTACTCACAGTAGCGCTCTATCCTGTATCTTCTCTTTACGTGTGCGCTAATACCGTTTAGATGCTTAATTACCAACTAGCCCAAATATCTACCCTTTTACGGCGACAGCAGGGTGGCAACCGAGCACGCCCGCATTCCACCGCGCCGCGGCTCAACACCTCCTCGGTAACAAGGCCGTAGTGCTGAATAAGACGGAATCATCAGAGAAAGCCAACGCTGGGCACAGAGCGGACACGACGATTGCGCCAACGTTCAGCTTAAACTTGACTCGAAGCCGAGCGCTAACGGAGCATACGCTTCCAATCTGTTTCCAGCGTTGGCCTTCTCTGAGTAAGCCATCTCGCTCAGCACTACGGTTTTGTTAACTATACGAGGTCTTGCGCGGCGTTTCCTCCTCTCTGGCTCCTAGCCAGCTGTGCGCGTGACTTTACCGAAAACGAAAGGCCTCGTTTCGACGAAAACCCGGCGGTGTCTGTCAGTTTGTCAGCGCCGAAAAGAGAGCAAGAGGAAGACGCGTGCTCACGTCAGCGCTTCGGACCAATGGGAGCGTTGCACGTGACAACTGACAAACGAAAGACACCGCCGGGTTTTCGAAACTGGTGTGACGTTATGATGATACTTGACAGAAGCCTTCTGATATAGGTGATGCTCAGTACACAGAGAGATGGTGCGGAGCTGAAGCCGTACAAATTAGGTGGTTGACCTCGTCCACCCGCCGTGCAAGTAAAGCTGTTGTGGGGTGCATTCTCAACCACCATCACGTTTAACTGTTCCCACTTCTCAGTTATGCCGCGACCCACAGGAGGCACTGCATTAAGTTAACAAGGCCCTTCCCAAGTCCCGGACTTCGTTAAGGGCCGCAGCATAATCGACTAAGTATTTCTAGAGAACCCTACACGAGAACAACACTGTTTGGCTGACAAATTTAAAGAGAAAAGTACTTCTTTCTTGTGCCTTGACCTGTCAAAGAAAAAACAATATATCTACTTCCAGTGCCTGTCAAGTTTGAGAACACAATCGTTTTTTTTTTTTTTGCTGCACAATTTTTATGTTTAATTGGTATTTCGCAACCTTTACGTCAATACGTCAAACGCTTTTCTTGACAAGTATTGTGAGAACTATGTGCCAGAAAGACTTACACCTCCTGCGAAGGTTATATATTGAGGCACCTTACTGCCCCCTCCCCCGAGCGCGTCACATTACAAACAGCATAGTACTCGAAGTCGTGAGCACAAAACCTGTGCCTCTATAGTATCGCTTAAATGACTTATGATACAGAGAACAGGGGATAATAAAGTAAAACCTTTTCCAAGCAACACCCGGATAACCGTTATGCAAAAATCTTCAGATGACATTATCTACGTTTCCGGCACTTTTTAACGAACGAACAAGATAATAAATTGCGTCCCAAGGGTAGTTTGGACAGAACCGAGCGTTAGCAAAACAGGCATACTGGTGCGCTGCGTGGAATCGGCTGGCTCCTCTATGTCCATCCCGAGCCAGTGAGGACGGCCCAAGTCGGTGCCGGACGTGGCTCCTTCCCGATGTACCCCGATCAAGGCTGCAACATTCGAACCCTCGTTAATCTCACGCGGGAACCGAGTCGTCAAAGAGCCAGCGTCAGGACTGTATGCAGCTATTTCAAAAGTGCTTCCAACGGTCGATCGGGGTTGCGCGGTTTATGCGCCACGTAGCTGCGACGAGGAGGCAGAATCATCAGTCTTCTGCTATACTCCGTTTCACCTGATGTTGTAGTGCAGAGAAGGCTAAAAGCGCAAGCCCATAGCGTTGGGAGCTGCTCTTAACCCACAAGAGCATGTGCCCCCGAGATGTGCCCTAGAACAAGGAGCTCGCGCTTGTAACCTTTCCTGCGGTACATCACAAGGTGAAACAGAGTTATAGAGTCTCCAACTCCAAAATGATGTGCCTATCCGACCGCTTTCCTCCTCTCCATGCGAGAACGCAGTGCACGCGCACATGCGGCCAATGTGTCCAGGAGGCGTCTGCGACTGCCAGTGATATTTGATTTAAAAGTTATAAGTGATTTTCTGACATTTTCAATGAGAAAATGGGGCATATTATTATTAATTTCGCCCATTTTCAGTTTCTGGCGCCATAGAGCTTCGTGTATTCGAAAGCTTTGTCGGCCACCATTTTACCATTAAAATTTTCAGAAAATCACTTATAACTCTTTCATATAACATGGGTTCGGGCTGAAACTTTGGCATCTGTTTCGGACCTCTAATGCCACTTTTGGGCAAAAAATAAGCGTTCATCAATGCGTTTTATTTTTTTTTTTTTTTTTTTCGGACATTTTGTACAAATGTGCTCGCGCCATCCATAGCAAGGGTCTTTGGAGTGGCAAAAACGAGAACTGGAAAGATTGGGATCAGGATAACGTTGTGAATGACACATCACATTTCCGCGGCTCCCTCATAAGGCCTGCCAGCTGCTCGGGGGCACATTAAAATTTGACTGATTGATCGATGACTATACGTAGTAAAGTCGTTTACATTCAAAACTGGCAAACTGCATTTCATATTGCTGTTTGTTTTGAATCGTATACATGCAGAGCGAGAAATGTCTAGTGATGAATCCTATGCATTACATTGCTGCGTAAAGAGAAGCGATGCATTGTTCGTTTCACCTGTAGTGTGGGTGCATTTCAATACTCTATCTCACTACAGTCGGTGACGGTTTAAGAGTGAAGTGCAAGCTCCTCGCACCTCTTTCCACTTTAACAGAGCGATGCAGAGGAGGCGACCTTCTCTCCAGCGTTCGCTCTGCTCAAGTGGAAAGAGCTGGGAGGAGCTGTTACCAAAGGTATAGGGGTCAGACTGTAACGTTAGCAGTTAGAAAGGAGGGTAAGGAGGAACTTTCCTCTGGGACCCCAGTTTGTGCACCGTCACGTCACTTTTCTCCCCCTAGGAAGTTAGCCCGTCGCTCCAAATTCGAACTGAAACGGCTTCCCTCTTTCCCGCCCGTGGCTTCCCCAGCACTACGCAACTAGTGAGACAGTATAAGACACGTGCATTGTTTTATTTCCTGTCGCCAACATAACGATCAACGTGCGTATTTGTGCAGAATCACGCAACAGGCAAATCAATTAAATAACTCAATATCTTACTCGTTCCCACATAGACTGTACAGCATTACATAATTCGATAGTCCCCTTTTAAAAGGGCTATCAAGCAGCACTGGCGGCCGCTATGTTTTGGGCAACGCTTCGTTGCGCGAATCCTGCGATTAGATCCGAGTTCACGCCGAGCGCGACCGCAGCACTCCAGCACAAATCATGATCAAGGTGCAAGCCCAAAATATGGGGGCACACACTTTTGAAAATGGTCTATTGCATGCTCAGAAATGCGTGCTAAACATTATTTTTTTAAAAGCGTATCAATAATTAAAATTGTGTCCGAGCTACATCGCTCCTGTCCTTTTAGCTGTGTTCCCATCTTTGCTTATCTACAGCACAGCAAGTTATTTACCAGAAACATTCTCTAAACATAAATTACCAGATTCATGTTCTTCTCCGAGGGACGTATGCGGAACCGCCTCATCCAGCCCTGAAACAGAGGAGGTAAACAAGGGCGAAATCACAGCTATTAAGTTATTGTAGTTTGATTAGTTTCTTGCGTAATTTGTCACTGTACATTTTTATCCTTGTCTGGCTTAAAGTATATTCATTTTAAGAAAATTAGCCCTCATTGCCTGTAACCCAAAACTATACGTGACAACTACTGAGCTAATGATTAATTTTAACACTACAACTCACTTTTTAGATACCCTAAAAGGAGACGATTAAACTCGTGGAGTATGCCCCAATTTCCCTTCCACTTGACCGGCGGCTTTCCAGTAATACATATTTCCCGCCATAAAATAATGAAGCTAAAACAACCTTAGTGATACACAAAAATCAAGCAACATTAGGAAGAGCTGACTTTTACGATACTACTTAGAACTTGGCTGTCTGAATGAAAAAAGGCAGGCAAATATAAGGAAGGAAATTTTAAGGCAATAAAAACAAGAAACAAAAATATCCATCTCACTGTAGGAAAAAATGCTTTCAAATCCGCCACTTAAGCATGGTGGCGGAAGTAATTGCACAGTTATTGTAATTAAATTATATTTTATACCCCTCGAAAAAATTCTCCATTGAAGCCTCAGAGTGGCATCCGATGTTTTTTTGTTTTTTTTTTCTAAGAGACTCTTGAACCTACTAGCAATAGTAGAAGCAATGCCTCTTATATGCTCTCCCAAAACTCATCACTAAAAAAAAAAAAAAAAAAAAAGAGAAAAAACAGTTAGTAGGCTTTAGACGCACGCGCTTCGCACAATATTCCGCAGAAAAAAAAAAAAACACTTAAAATGCTCTGAACGCGTTCCACAACCCGGTATACAAAGATGGCGTCGCCCAGGGGGCCCTAGCCGCTCTGAGGCCTCTAGGAGATCCATTGTTCAGTACTTTCTAGCATAAAGAGCTTAAATCGCCTTCCTAAAATTGTTTCTTTTTTTTTTTTTTTTTGCGAGCGCCGCCGTTATGATGTTTAGTGCAGAGCGGTCGCAATTGACAATCGTTACGATTCTAAAATACCATTATTCTCCTGCTCTTTGGACACGGACAGGCAAGGGAATTTATTAGACGAACAATCAGGCAACATTCGCAAAACTTGGAGCGAACGAGATTGGACAGAACACAGACAGCAACATGGCACAAGACGAGAACACTTGCGAGACAACTGAGACGACCACGAGGGAATGGGGCAGAGCAGAAAGTACAGACAGGAACGGCGACAGGCCCGGATGGCGTAGGAATGAGACTAGTCAAGACAGGAACAAAAAGCAATTTAAAGTTAAGACAGACAACTGATAAAATAATAATGGGGAGAGAGGTATACCCAATGATTTAAAACTAAGCAGAACAAGACTACTGTATAAAGTCAAGGAAAATAAGGATATCATAACATAATACCGACCACTAACAGTAACTTCGGTCCTGTACAGACAAGCGATGATGGTAATAAAAATAAAAATAGAAAAATGTGCAGGAACCTTTTTAGGTTGGCTACAGAACGGGTTTCAAATAGATAGAAAAAAATTATAGTAACTTATTCCTTGACACTGAATGTATAGAGGTGGCATAGATGAGAAAAAAACCGTTATCGATAGCATTTCAAAACATTTAAGGGCCGTACGACAATGTGAGTCAGGAAAGACTGAGTACAGTTCAAGGAGTGTGATTTATATGCCCATGTGATTAGGCTTTTAAAACAAGTATACACAAATATGTAGGTTCTTATAACATAAAAAGCAGAAATAACAAAACCGACAGAAATAAAAAGAGGACTCAAGTAGGGTTGCCCCCAGTTGCCTCTGCTCTTTATGATATACCCGAGTAGAATGGAAGAGAAATGAGAAAAGTGCAATTTAGGCTTTAATATGCCGTATATGGAGCGAGGGGAAAAAGTAAATTAAGTTATACCAGGAGTGTTCTACGCACACGACGCTGTACGGTTTGTAGACAGCCGGAATAGGTAACAGGAACTGATTAAGATTTGTGAAGAGGAAGGAAACTGTCTGGGCCTGAAATTAAGTAGCGAGAAGTTTGGAATATTGGTTTATAACGGTAAAAAGGGAGACCCACTGATAATGAAATATGTTTTAATAGAACACGTAAAGAAGTATAAATGTCTCGGAGCAAGGGTGAATGAGGGGAAACAATACTTAGAATAAAGGGAAGAAATATGCCAAAGAAAGAAAAAAGGAATGCAGCAATCATGAAGCATAGGGCACTAGGAAATTACAACATATACATGAAGTTGTTAGGGGAATATAAAAAGGAGTCATGGTGTCGGGGTTGTCTTCTGGCGATGCGGTATTTCGCAAGAAATTTGAGGTCCAATCGCGTTTAAAGGTCCGGCAGAAGAGCGTGGGCAGACTGGCACTGGGGGCGCATGGCTAGTGCCAAATACTCAACAAAAGTATTTAAGATGAGATAATAAATACCCATCTTAAAATGTATTTAAAGTATTACTCAAGTTACTTTAAGTATGAACTGTATTGAATAGCGTACAAAGCATTAATACTTTGAAAAAGAAAAGAAACGTGATTAAAATAGAGTAGCAAATTCTAAAACTAAATGTATTTGCAATATACCAAAATACCAGTGTTGGGCAAAATACTTGATAGAAGTATTTAAGTTAAATTACTAAATACCTGCTTCGTAAAGTATTTCAAATACTACTCAAGTTACTTTCACTGTAAAGCATTTTGAGTAGAGTACAAATACTTAGAAATGTAAGTCAATTACTTTCGAAGATACTTCTGCAATGCGTAATTTGTATCGACGTCAGTGACAAGACACAATTATACAGTTTCGCAAATCTGGTTTTCCAGAATGGTTTATTAGCACGCAACAACTAAAAAACAAACATCGTAGGGTTATTTTATGCAGTCCAATTATAAGGAACATGATATCACTGATACATGTTACAAAACATTATGGGGCAAAATAAAAAGGTCGTTTTTAGCTATATCCAACTTTCACGACCTATAGGGGCGCGCTGTTGCCTATCAAAATGGCTGTCATCTATATGATGGTCGTATAACAGTAGTAAGAGGCGCGGTCTGCAACGCGTAATTAATTCTAGTTTTGCTTTATACGAGCAGTATTAAAGCCTTATTTTATTTTTTCCGTCCAGAAGGTGTAGGCAATCACCTTTTTTTGCGATTCTGACACCGCGGTACCGCAATCACTGAAAGTTTCGAATAGTGACATCACCGAATATCAAGTCCTGCGGCGCACCTTAGATACATCGTTCTTACATGGGAAGTTTACTATAAACTAACTTGGGATACAGAAATGAGTGAATGGATGACGAAGAGAGCCCAGAAAATAGCCACGGCATTGATCAGACCTTCTTCAAGTAGGTTGCGTTCAGAAAGGCACTCAACGTTGGGGGACACTTTATTAGCGTTCTGAGAGGTCATTATGCGCGTAGTTGGTTTCCTGTCCTGCTCTCTGCTTATCAATGGTCGCTTACAGACAGTGTCCGCGAAAGCAATAAGTGCCGGACTGACGACAAAAAGAAAAGAAACAAAAACAAAAACCTCGACATTTTGCCATAGCGGAATCAAATATACAAAAAACAAAAGTTTCTTCTTGTTGTGACCATTTCGCATTTAATTATATTTGTTATTTTCTTGACACTGAAGTTTGCATTGTTGTCGTGGGTCGTTTCTGGCTCTGCATTGCGCCTCAGTGTGGCAATCTTTACTTCCGTAAAACCACCCCTATTGTTTCAGGATTTTTCGGGGATGAAACTCTAGGAAACAAAAGGCGTCTTTGCCAAGGTGAGGCAAAAACCTTCATTGTACAAACTTTGGGGTGAAATATGAGTCACATTCGGCACAAAAGCGAGGTTTGCTAGGCCACCGTAGCTTCTAGGAGTTAGCAACAGAATTTAATTGCTCGAAAGAATGTTCACGTTTTCTCCTAGAACGCCCAAGCACCTTCATACCGAAAAAAATCAGAAAATGACAGATTGTCAAAAATGTATTTGAGATAATGAATACAAGATATTCACAAGTGTAATAAAAATATAGTATCAAATACTCTCGATCAAAATAATTTGTAGCATATTAAGATACTTCAAAAGTATTTGAAATACAGTATCTCGAGTAGAGTATTTGAGATAGGCACAAGTCTGCAAAATACTACCAAAAGTATTTGAAATACAGTATCTAGGTAAAGTATTTAAGTTAGGCACAAGTCTGGAGTACACCAAATTAATGAGTGCAGGGAGACATAGGTTGTGCATCGTTCGTGGTTAGGGAGGCGATCAGGAAGTTGAAATTCTAACAAAACCTGGACAGAAACACGATGGGCGAGGCAGGTATATAAGCATTTTTATATAAAAAGTCTGAACACCAAATGGACAAACCGAACCCGAGAAGTGAAATTCTAATACTAAAAGTGCTGGGGCAGAGAAAACTACCACTGGAAAAAGGAAGTAGAAGAAGCCGAGAGAAAAATGTGGGAGGAAAGAATGTCGGGAACATCAGATTTAACTATGTGTAGGGGACGAAAACAGTAAAAAAGCAAGGAACTTTGGTATGATAATTCACGAAGGAGCTCGTAGTTGTTTGAGTCTAAAACAGGAGTATTGAGGAATATAGTCTTCAATACTCCTTATTATCTCTCCAAGATGTCCTATAGGATACATACGACAAACTATGAGAGAGGGACATATAGGCCAAAGTATGAGGAAATGGATACGTGGTGTGAGGCACCGTTACTAGATCAACTCAGTTACGGAACTTCCCATAGACGCTGTACATTGGAGGGGGTCCGAAACCGTGTCCGATTTTGTTGCAGCTAGGTGGCGCTGCCGGCGCATTATTCCACGCGTTTTCGTCTGCTACTGCTCCGCGGCTGCTTGCGAGTCCCGACTCCTCTCGAGGTTCAGCATGGTTTTTGGTAATTGTTTGCCCTTTCGCCAGTAAAAATTACAATTTGAGCATAAAAAGCGCTACGACCGTTTTGGCATACGCTTTGCATTATTGTAAAATGCTGCTGCCTTAGCAGTGCTGACAGCGCGAAGCGTTTCAAACAACCCAAATTCGTCGGCGCCACAATCAGGTGGCTACAAAAAGGGCAAGTTTGTACATACTGTAATAGTAGATGTGCCGACGACTACCAACTGCAGCAGAAACAAGTTGAAAGTCGTCTGTTACTGTCAGAAAAAGCGCTACGAACATTCGTAAGCTCAGTAGGCCACAAGCAACGGCCACAAGCGCGCCGCCAATGATGAGGATAGCGAGTATTAATGCGGAGCGCGCGCCCTCTAACAGACGCCACGCAAAGGGACCCCCCTCCAGAGCGGAGTTCCAGAACTGAGTTGATTCTAATAACGTTGGTGTGAGGTATGCCAAGGGGAAGACGAGACATTAGAACATGTGGTGTTAAGGTGCACGGGGCTTTCTCCCGCTCTCCATGAGGGGGCGACGGATTCAGCCGGAGCGCTGGGGTTTGTAGACGAAAATGGAAAGATGGATGATAGATTCATTTTAGTAACGAGGAGGATATTAGAAGACTGGTGGAAATTATTTAGGGAGAATTGGATGACGTACAACTAACAGGCGTGACAGAGGAAAATTGGGACTCCCTCCTGAGAGGCTCCGGCTAAAGAACTCAGCCCTGTCTCCCAGTGGGCCCGGTGCTAAGGTAACGCCGACTAGGCTTGACCTCAAGAAAATGGCGACTCCCTCGCCGGGGAGCAAAGGCAAAGGGTGATGTTTTTAGGGGTTTTTTTTTTCCCCAATCCCCTAAAGGTCATCCTGGTGATAGTTACAAAGCTACAGGAGGGAAGCAAGTTGGCTTAGAAGGACGATGGGAGGAGGGATACTTTTTTCATTTGTTTCTAGGCTAGGTGGCTCAAGCTACCGCCCGATATAAAGGGTACAGCCGCTAGCATCCACCCATCCATGCATCCGACTGTTTAAATACTTCTCTAGTTCGAAAAATCATTTCCTGCTATCGCTGACAATCATCCAGAGAACTGGCAACAACGATTTTATGTACCAGGTTGGCTCGAGTTTTGTCACTTTCAAGCGTGCACCTTGATGAGCGGCTTTATAGTGAGGACATTTCAAACGAAAGTTGTAGGTCGTTTCAATACCTCCGATAACGATACCCGGCACTCCATTGACGTCTTTGCGCGTACATCGTGCCGTTATCGGGTATCGTTATGGGTTGTATCGGAACCCTACTAAAACTCCCTAATAACCTAAGTACGTTCCGAACCTAGCGGTGTGACTGGGACCTACTGGAGACTGTGGCATTGAGGGTAAACCCGACGCCGAGGATGCCAGCGACGACGAGGAGCACGGCCGCAGCGCCGCCGATGTACATGGCCGTGTCGGGGATGAGGGCCTGCTTGTCTCGCTCCTCTAGGAACGGGGTGCTGTCACTCCCCTCGCCCAAGGAACTGTACAGCAGTGGAGTCTCGGATATCCTGCGGGGGACGTGGCAGCTGCTCTCCCAACAAGCCCGAAAAACCCAAGCGTCTAAGGGAAGCGAGTGTTTGTCTGCTTCTTGTGCAGGAGCGCTGACGTCAGAACGCCGAGCTCTCATTGGCTCTGATGGAGGAACAGTGGGTAGACATTAGTGCTAGGCCCTGGAGGTCTGCCCACTATCCTTCCAATCGGAGCGAACCAGAGATCGAAGCTCTGACGTCACCGTAACCCCTGCTCAAGAAGCAGACGAACTTGCGCTCCGCATTGTCACCGACAGCTTAAAGGGGTTATGACACGCCAAAAATAAAATATGGGATATCAGTACTGCTAGGACCTATTGTATGTTCCTATAATCCTGCTAAATTTGTTTTGAAAATGGCGTCATAGTTTCGTGGATAAATCGGTTTATATGCGGGTCCTTCGGAGGGGCGGATCCGAGCGGAGCAGGAGGCTGGTGACGTAGCCAGCTTCCCGCGTGTCGTCCCCTTGCACGCACTCACGGACTTGGCTCTCTTGGCGTCTTGAGCTTAAGCTTCCTCGTTTACCTTCCGCGTTTCGAGCATGTGGTCCGTGACATTTACATCTACGGCATCGCTCGCCTTGTCAGAAGTGTTCGACATTGATCGCAGCAGCGATGAGAGTGATTGCTATCAAGAGATGTTGGAAGCTGTTCATTTTGACTGCGACCCGCTGGCGACCAGCTCCGACGACGGCGAGTTACGGACGAACTCGTCCACCGTCGTCCGGAAATACCTCGCAGGCTCATGCAGGGTGGAAGGTCAACGGGCCGGGGGCGAGAGCGAGAGTAATATTCGGTTACCGAGTTGCGTAAGCGATTTTGATCGTACCGCGGCGAGGAGAGCTTATGCGATCATGGGGGCACCTAGAATGAGAGAGCCTTCATGATCACATGGTTTATGGACACCATGGTGTGACTAACTTGGGCAGTGTTGCCTGGTCGCCAGATGAAAATGATAAAAATTCGTAAATTGATTATTGCAATTACAACAGCTCTAAGAATCACGTAACTTGGTGTATATACTAAGTAGCCTATGAGTATTCCGTTTCAAGAATAATCTATTCGTTTCACTTTCGTGTCATAACCCCTTTAAACAACACAGGGCGCGGCGAGACCCGGCCAGCTTATTAGGGAGTTTTAGGGAACCACTTTTGCCCATCGGATACGGTACTAACTGCGCATTTGCTACAGCAGAAGACTCGCACATCCGCAGTGCGTACCAGAGGGTCCATCGTACCATATCAGATGTGCAAAAATGGTTCCCTAAAACTGACGATAATAGTCCCTGAAGAAGGGGAACAAGGGGGATAAGGGACAAACACAAATCTCCAAACACAGCTAGGTGACTGGTGCGCGACCGAAAAAATCCGCCTGGTCCTGGTATCGAACCAGGGACCTCTCGGTCGCGCACCAGTCACCTGGCTATGTTTGGAGATTTGTGTTTGTCCTTTGCCCCTCTTGTTCCTCTTCTCCAAAGATTATTATCGTCATTCTTGTCCAGCTCGCTTTCACCTTTGCATTTAATTACATTATAACCAAATCCCTAAAAGCTCTGCAGTATCCTTTCGCGGCCAATGAGATTGTGCTATTCACCGATAATAACGCAGAAGAACCAATCACGAAGCAAGAAGTACTTGGAAGTTCTACTACATTGTTGCGATTCCCATAAAGATACCGGATACTCGACCGGCGCATTTGCGCATGTGTCGCATCGTTACCGCTATCATTATCGGATCGTCTAAATCTTCCGATAAGGAGATTTGTCCTGAGAAAGCCTAAACCACTTTTTACGATACTTAATGTTTATAGCTCAATTTATGGTATCTATAAAGCAACCTAAAAAAAAAGACATTATAATAATTCGTGGCCAATTTATTTATTAAAATCGGTATCAAAATTGATTACTACGGAACTATCTCTGACCGTCTGAGATGGCGCCATTGGGAGAGGAGAAGCAGAAGAGCCGTTCTCCTTGTCTGATGGCGCCATATTGTGTCAGCGATAGCTCAGAGGTAATCAATGTTTGGTAACGATTTTAACAGAGAAATCGGCCACGTATGAATGTAATGTTTAAATTGTAAGGATATATAGCATAGATTGAGTTATGACCATAAATAGACTATCGTAAAAAGTGGTTTACTGCCCCTCTAAGCTGTGACTGCATTGGTGACTCCAGCGAACTAGGGGGGGGCGCGCTGGTCAGTCACGATTGCGAACGAAAGGAGGTCGTTTTCATAGATCAGCACGCGAAACACTTTAGATTTCTTGCGTTGAAGCGTGAAATTGGTGTTACATGAGAAAACAAAATGTATTTTGGACGGAAATACCTTCTAGGTATTGTATAGGAGTGACACGGTTGAATCCTAAAAATAGTTGATCAAAACAATGTTTATAATGCAATTAAATAGAAAGGTGCAAGCGAGCTGGACAATAATGACGAAAATAATCCCTGGAGAAGGGAAACAAGAGGGACAAAGTACAAACACATATCTCCAAGCACAGCTAGGTGACTGATGCGCGGCCGAAAAAATCCGCCCGGTCCGGGTTCCGGACCAGGCGGATTTTTTCGGTCGCGCATCAGACACCTAGCTATGTTTCTCCAGGGATTATTTTCGTCAAAACAATGGTGTCGTTTTTTTTTTTCACCAGCTCGATTGGTACATTTGATACACTCAATGCGCTTGATGCCCTTAATACACTTGATGCGCTTAATGAACAAGCGCATAAAGCTACGCTGCCTGCAAGAACCAAGCAGCGAAAGCAGACGACAGGAGCCGAGCGACCTTCCGTCGGAGGCTCTCGGCGTTACCGCTTCGCAACGCCGATTTCACTGGAGTAGCCTTGCAGGAAAGGCGGAGACACAACTGCTTTCACCGTTTAGAACGTGCGCAGTCAAAGGCAAGAAGACGTGCAAACACGGAGACGTTTACTAAACGCGGGTCCAAACAGGATACTTCAGAAATCGTGAGGCGACACAAGTAACACGACTACGTCGTATATGACGAGCAGCAAACCGCCTTCGTCAGGGGCTTTTTTTCCCCTTTTTGTCGGGGGGAATGGTTTCTTTACGTCAACGTTTGCTTGTGCCCTCCCCAGGGGACTTGAGCATACTCATCACGTGGGTCCGGACAGCCACTCACACGCTCTGTTGGCTGTCGATCCTCCGCTCAAGGCCTCCGCTGCTGCTCAAGTCCCTAAGAAAAGAAAGGGAAGGATAAGAGGGCGCGGCAGAACAGATGAATAGGCAGAGGGCAAACTTTTCTTGGCGATACAGTGAAGGGTACAGGCACGCCTTCCCTCTCCCATTTTGAGCGCTAAATAAAGCTGTGCACGGGCTCTCCTCCTCTATACTGCATTGCCAAGAAAAGTTGTCGCCAAGCGTAGCAAGTGGCGTGTGACGTCAGGTATGACAAGCACCGATGTCACCGAAAAGCGAAGGAGGCGAGTAGGAAAGTCGTGATGTTTGACTGGTGGCATCCAAATTATAGTCCGTTGCAACCTAAGAACGAAGGGTGAGGGTAATAAGGGCCGTGGGAAGAGAAAGCAGACGGAACGCTAAAGAGAGAAGGTGGTTTCCCCCTCTCTTCTCCAGCGTTCCGTCTGCTTCCTCCTCCCCGGCCCGCCTTACCCTCGCCCTTCGTTCTTAGGTTGCACGGGCCCGGGCCAGCCCGCAGGTCCGAGCCTGGTCCGGCCCGCAGACCGGGCTCCGGCCGGGTAGCACGAATTATTTTGTGCCCGGGCCGGGCTCGGGTTTGAACAAAAAGAATTCCGGGCCGTGCCGGCCCGGGCCGGGGATGGACAATCGTGTGCCGCAAGTTCTAAATAGTTAATAACAAAAAGTGTGCTCGTTGATCATTTTGGTTCAATGAAAACAAACAAGCGAAATGCCAAATCACTACGGCGCCGTTAAAAAAAAAAAGTTTTGTATCTGGGAAGTCTTCACGTGGATAATAGGCAACGCATTGATGCCACCAGTATAGTGGGAATGTGCGGTCAAGAAAATGAGGGCACTCCAGTCGCAGGGTACAGCATGAGTTTACACTCAGCACCGCTATGTAGGCGAATAATGATGCAGAAAAGAGTGACCTTCGTACTCAGATCGGATCTGGCCTATAATAGCGCGTACCGAAGTGAACATTTTTTTTTTTTTACATAGCTTGGCGTTTGATGTTTGTTCTTGACAAGATGCCGCTTAATTCAATTTCCAAGTAAGCGTCACCCTTGCTCATTTTTTTATTTTGTTTGTTAATTAGAACAAAGTAGTATTTCAGTTTCTACTCAACATTGAAGCTACTTAATGGGTCACTTTCTGACGGTCTGCGTGCACAATCGTCATAGTTCTGCCACGCGCCACTGTGTACTTTGCTTTCGTGCAGCCCACAGACACATAAAATTGTTGGTCATCACATAAAGAGGCAACAGACTTCTATATGTTTGAGAAGCTTAATATGCGTCAGGAACACACACGTTATTTAAATCAGTTTGGAAATAATAAAAAAATTGTTTAGGGTTCTCTCAGATAAGTTATAGACGTGCCTATCAAGGATAAAAACGCCGGAAAAGATTTGCAGAACATATTTAAGAGAATTTGGGGCTGCATTTACTTACGATGTATATCTTTAGGGTGATCGGCCGTTTATTTATGTTGTCAAGTCTTCAGGCAGTAGTAAAATATTTTTTTTATTGTCCTCAATAAATTTGAGTGTATGAAGTTCACATAACCGCTTTAAACCGACACGGGAGGACGATACCCGAAAATATATGCCATCTATTGAGTCTGCGAAAACGTGCTTTTTTGTTTGCTGTTTGGCAGTGTGAAACACCGCGTCGGGGGGGGGGGGGGGGGGGGGGGGTTCCAAAAAGGACTATGTGCTCATATTATAGATCTGAAGGCAATTACGTTAAATTTGCAGAAAGAGAGATAATAAATAGTATTCTTCTAAATGATCCCATGCGCCACGCCTTAGAGCAATATATATATATATAACGGGCATGGTGGCGAGAGGCCGAAAGCGTAGGTATATAACTGAGAATAAAAAAAAATGTACTCAAAATCTGTAACTTCTTTCACCTATTGTGTCCAAAATACAAAAAATTTATTTTTGCTTTATGTTTAATATGTTGCTAGAGTCCTACTCACTATACTCCGCGACAACTTTTCTTGGCAATGCAGTGGAAGGTACAGGCCCGCGTCCCCTCTCCCATTTTGAGTGCGCGCGGGATCTCCTCCTCCCCCATTTCCGGGGAGAGGAGGAGAGCCCCCGCACACTCAAGATGGGAGAGGGGACGCGGGCCCGTACCTTCCACTGCATTGCCAAGAAAAGTTGTCGCGGAGTATAGTTCGAGCGAACGCGATGCAAATTAAAAAATGGCCATAAACGCTTTGCAGGGCCCCAGAGCCGTATATGTAGGGAGTTTGGTCAATGGGAGGCGCGGGCAGAGCCAGGGCGTGCACCAGACTCGGAAAGAGGGCTTGGCATGCTCTCTTGACCAACCAGAAGCCGAAAAGAATCCCCTAGCGGTGGTAGCGAGAAACAGTTCTGATCAAAGGTCTATGTTCATATGTGGTTTTAATAAGCGCGTAAGAGTGAAGCGTAGTAACCCTTCGTGGTTGAAAATAGGGTGCACGTGTTGTTTTGATCATGATCATGCAGAAAGATGTAAGAAACGAATGCGCCGCTGAACTCTGTTTTGCTCGGACTGAGTCTGACCGCTCGGACGGCAGATCCCCGGCCCTCGGCGCTTGGCGTGCGGATTATGTCGATCGTTCCGCTAGTCGCACTCCTCCACCATCATTTTGGATGAGCGTGATTGAAACATCAGGTGTACCATATTTTCAGTCATCGAGAGTTACTCTAATGCAGTTATCAGGTTTGTTTCTCGCGACCACCGCCAGGGTATTATTTCCGGCTTCCGGTTGGTCACATTCAAATTTTTCAAGACGCCCTGGAACACGCCCAGCCCGCTTTCAGCCAATGGCGCCTCCTCATTTGTCTCCTATACTTCCCAACGAATGGCAAAACTCTCTACATATACGGCTCTGCAGGGCCCCTTTAAGTCCAGACCACGGTCCAGACGCAGCCAATGCTGCAAGCGCGATCATGTGTTCCTGAACTTGCACTGCACGAGCGCGCGTGCTTGGCAAGGACGCAGAAAGCCCGGAGCTTGCTCTTGTAGCTTCTGCTACGCCTCACACTTAATGTTAAACGGAGTATTGTGTTGAGAACATAGCCGTAGACTACGGGGGGCATCCGGACTCGCCCCCCCCCCCCCTCCTGCTAAAATCCGGGGGGGGGGGGGGGGGAAAGGGCAGAGCCCCCCCCCCCCCCCCCCCACCCCCGGGCGGTGATCCTTACCGAGACGCTGTTTACGAGGATTACTGCTTCAGAAGCGCAGGGGCCTGGGTTCTACCCCCACAACTTCGCAGCTGGCACAAGCATTTTGTTTTTCAGATTTGTGCTCGCCGGCGCATGCGCCGTGGTACCGGCGATGAACACACGGCTACAATTGCACGGTGATTGACATTGACACACAGCGACGGACACATGGCGATATACATACACTGGAAAATGTACCCCCTAAAATAAACTACTCATAATTGCCGGTGTAAAAAAAATTGCGCGGAAAAGCACACACCCCCCTCCCCCCCTCCCCTCAACCTTCCCGGGAAAATGGAAACTCTACGCCGCTGGTTGAGAACACCACATTACACCTGAAAACTGAGCTGTCTGACATGTTTTGCACGTGACATCATTGCACTATCCCCTATAAAAATGATTTTTGACTTTTTATTGAAAACGTGTTGACTTCTTGTTGACTCCGATTACTTCCTTTTGACTTTGACTTCCTGTTGACATGGTCAACAGAAAGTTTGTTGACTTTGTGTTGAAACTTTTCTGATGACTTTCTTCAGTCTGAGTCAAAAGAAAAGCTGTTGACTTTCTATTAACATTATGTTCATTTTTTTCTGCTGACTTTCTGTTGACATGGTCAACAGAAAGTTTGTTGACTTTGTGTTGAAACTTTTCTGATGATTTTTTTCAGCCTGAGTCAAAAGAAAAGCTGTTGACTTTCTATTAACTTTATGTTGATTTTTTTCTGCTGACTTTCTGTAGCCAGTGTCATAAAAAAAGCTACAGACTTTCTGTTGACTTTTTATTCAACATTGTACACCTCGACTAGATGTCAAAAGTTGATAAGTTTTTCAATAGTCTCCGACAAAGTGAGAACGGGAAGCAGCCTCAGTTGTCCCGCCTCCAGCGCGAGCCTACTACCCTTGACAAAGCTTCGGCGTTCGCGCACCTCGAGCGCGCGCGTGCAGTCAAAGCACGACGGAAGGCATGGGGCCTTCCGTCGTTGAGGCCAGCCACTCAAAAGGCATGCCCTGCCATTCTGACTGTGTAAGTGACCATAGTGACTTTAATGACCATATTGAATAGTCAACTAGCAAAGAAAAGCAAAATAACTATTTGAAAGTGGAGAAACTGCCTTGACTTGCTTCGTCCTGAGTGGTGCTATGCAGAGACGCCCTAATATTTCTTATAGGAGCCGTTTTCGTGGATGTTGTTTTAGCGACTGCGCCGAATTATTATTGGTAGTACCAATGCTTTTTAGTAAGCGATATATCGTCCACGAACTTCGAAAGGCTGTTATCCCTTTGACAGACTCCCGAGGAGAAGTTTAAAGATTTGGAATCTTAATAAGTGCTGAGGGGGTCACCGGCCAAATGATTACCTCCCATATGTAGGCTATATAAGGCTCTGGGGCAGTCAAGGGGTCTGTGATTCAGGTGTTCAGTGCAAATGAAGAAAAATAATTCAGGTGTTCAGTGCTTTGTGTTTGTGTTCGTTCCTAATGTGTAGTTGTGGGGTGTGCGTAGTAGTGACTCCAAATACCACAGGGACACCATTTACTAAAAAAATATAAAAAAAACAAAATTCGCTTTTTTTTTTACTTTATTTTGCTGCAGCTAATTTGGAGGAGTGGAAAGTCATAGTAAGCTTTCAAAACATTGTTGAATGAATAGCTAAGCTGTAGAGATTTTTTTTCTTTTTAATCTTCTGTAGCTTTTCAGTTGATAAGCTGCAGAAAAAGCATCTTGAAGGCGACAGAAAGTCTGTTGACTCTCTTATTACAAGGTGGGCTAATATTCAAAAGAAATTCAACAGAAAAGCTAGAGAAAGTCAGATGAAAAGCTGTTGACATTTTATATCCTCTGATGACTTTTTTCAACAGCTTTTCAACAGAAAAGCATCACGGGAAGTCTGTTGACTTTCATTAGAAAAGTGGGCCAATATTCAAAAGAAAGTAAACAGAAAATCTGTTGACATTCTATATCCTCTATTGACTTTTTTTCAACAGCTTTTCAACAGAAAAGCATAACAATTTTTTGTAAGGGATATGCTATTGTGGTCCTTGAGATTTCTTTTTGCTGAGGAAATCAGATCCCGTGGTGCAAAATGCACGCTGCAGAGGGTTCGCGCTTGGTGCACCTCGTGTAATCAGAAACACAAATTATACTTGCTTGGGACAGCGTCGTGAGTAAAGGCTGGTTCACATAGCCCCGATTCTTCACGTTACGTTACGTAAGCTTACGTGCAAGCCATTGGGATATCTGTGCTTCATATCAAGCGTAGCTACCAATTCGAGGAGGTATACCTGGCACGCGACATTCGAGACTCGCTTGATGCAAAGCACAGATTTCCCGCCGACTTAGACATAAGCTTTTGTAACTTAACTTAACGGAACGGAATGTCACGTAACGTAACGTAACGTAAAAAAACGGGTCTGTGTAAACCAGCCTTAACGGTGCGAGCGTCTGGCACCATGAAAACGCGCTTTTTGGTAGGAGTGATTTTGCAAACGAAGTAGAGTCTTGCAGGATCACGCTGTCTGGTCCGTGCTGAGGATGCGGAGCAGAGGAACCTTTACAATACAGTATGTTTTTAAACCCCCCCCCCTTTTTTTTTTTTTTTTACAATGCTTCTTTAGATAATACTTTTATTTCTGAAAGACTCGCTCCTCCGTTTAGGGGTGCCGAATCGGCAATTATATGTGTGTCATTTGTTAAGAGTAATCCTCTATTTCGTTTATTTTGCACCCAAAAAACTGTGAAGATTAAAGAAAACTCGGAAAATTTGAGCGACTGTTAACGTTCGGCTGTCCCTCTGAGGCCACAAGAATCTTTATTTTCAGGTATCCCTGCCGTACAAACTTCTAGTTCTATTTATCGTAGGATCACTAAGCAATACTTAGTCCTTTCACCGCTTCTATTCTCGGGAGCAACTTTGTGAGGCAGTTCAGCAACGAAGAAAACATGCTTGGGTGCATCATGTAAAATGAGTCGTGCAACAATGTTTGTACTTTCAGTAAATGCCCTAAGAACTAATCCCTGACCTTGATAACTTGCAAAAACACTAATTAGTTTTCCTCTCCGCTCAATGACAGATGTAGATAAAATAAAGGAAAAAAACAACTTTCGCCTTCTCAACTCGATATTAGAACAGGCGGCGATGTGATCTGGCGCTAATTTTATACCGCCAGTGTTCATCATAGTCATGCGCTGGGGTTGGCAAAGAATAAAGTATGAGTTGAGCTTTAGATATTGATAGAATTCGGCTATTCTCATCTTTGATTAAACACGAGCCAACACGAATGTTTGGCGGTGCTGATCGTCTTGGACCCGAGCACTCGACTCGGGCTCATGACAGTCGAGCACTCCAAGGTGTCACGTTACTCGCGGTGAGAAGGTGTCATGGCATGTGACGTCACGGTGTCAACAACGCTTATGCATCTAGTGACGTTCTCAATTTAAGTCGACTTGACGCGGTGAGTCACGCAACTATGTCACGGGACCACGCGACCTGACATTTTTCGACAGCACGTCGTGTTCACCTGATACATGGTTAATCGTAGTGTCAATACAAAAGCGCCACAAAAACCCACAATCTCTCATACATTGTAATTCGGTATATGACAGTTTGATCACGACATAGGAATTGAGCTGCCAATTTTTACTTCTCAAACACTCATTTTGCGATAATGAAAAAAAAAAAATTCCGCGAACAGTTTTGAGCCGGTTACCGTTCTACTTTTTTCCGGTTGAGTTCGGCTCGGTTCCAACATGGCGGCGAACATTTCGGTTCGGTTCAGTTCCGGTTTGGCTAAAAATAACGGTTCGGTTCCGGTTCGACATTCTGCTGATGATGCGACCCGGATAGTTGGCGAAACGTCTGTGTTGTTGTAATATTTGTGTTGTGTTAAGCCAGAGTAAACTTATTTCATTATGACTACCCGTGGCTTTTGGAACATTTGCAATTTTGTATAGTAATCTGGATGATGCTTACTCTGATGCCTGAGACAGCTGCGACTGTGACATCTCCGTTGATTGTGCTGCAAGGGAAAACTAGCGTCATTTCTTTTTTCTCTCCGATCGCGGTGGAACGCTGATTACGACACATTTGGGCTGTTCACAAGAAAATTAAGAGAGAAACGCTCACACTCGTCCATGGCATCAAATGGCCCCGCTGAGCGCTGTAGTCCGTCCCTTCTTCTACCTTCTCTTCGGTCGATTTCTTTCATATTTTTTTATATATTGATATATTGGTATATTTATGTTAGCTCAGGAGAGCCGCGGCGCCGAAGAAAGGCGAATCGCCCATACTTTGAAAGCCTGCGGCACCGCTTCTAATAATGATGAAATTATATTGTACCATCGAATCGTGTGGATGATGACGATGATGATGGGACGGCGAAGAAGGTGAAGAGCGTCAGGCCTGTACTTCGTTTCAGCTTACGTCCGAGCGCAGCCAAAGCTACGTGCGGCCGGCGCCAATCATAGGCCGCGCGACGTCGCCTGCACTTCCCGTATCATTCCGCGCGGCGCCCGCGCCACCCGCGCCGAGAAATGGACCGAAAATGTTTCATCTGGTTAAAAGTGCTCTTTCGTGACCTGAAATGAACCATTTCGATATAATCCCGATATGTATCAGAACCTCTGAAGAGCGGCCGACGATCGATTGATGCTCTATAGTGTAACATAACAGAGTGTTCTTCACCTCCCCGACGTATAAAGTAAGAGATTTCAATCGCGGGGGCGAACAATTATAGAGCACAGCTCTTAGGCGTCCGTTTCCGGGTTTCGCGGCGTCGCTAAATTTAGCAGGGAAAATCGCGTCAAATGATTTGGTGTCGCGCCACCTATAGTTGACGTGACACTAATGACGTTAATTTATTCATATATGAACAAATTCAGCATCTCCGCTAGATTGAGCGGGAAAATTTACGTCACGTGACCTCAATAGCAATTCAATTCCCCGCTAAATTTAGCGGGAAAATTTACGCCAAGTGATCTCAAGACCAATTCAAATTACCCGCTAAATTTAGCGGAGAAAATGACGTCACATGACTTGGTGTCACGTCACCTCTAAACGAATTCAGCTGCTCCGATAGATTTAGCGGGAATATGGACGTCACGTGACCTCAGCAGCAATTCCATTCCCGGCTAAATTTAGAGGGGTCACGTGGCATCAATTTTCAGGTAAATTTGTCGGGGAAACTGGGGGGTGGGGGAGGAGGGGGTGGAGGAGGCGGAGGGGAGGGTCTGGGGAAGAGGATGGGAGGGTAGGGAGGAGGAAGAGGAGGAGAGGGTAGGGAGGAGGGGCATACGCTCCCCACCGTATACCCTCCCCTCCTCCTCCTCAAGAGCTGTGCTTTAATTTCACGTTAAATACATTCGTAAACGTCTTTCATTTGTCTTTCGGCGATGAGTAAAGAATATCGGTGTTATTTCTCAAATGACAACAGTTGCCTAGCCCCTCAAAAGTTTTAGTGCTCTATGTCGTGCCCCTTGTGTAAACTTTGCCGGTTCTCGGTCATGCTGTCCTCATCTGGAAAATTTGCGTTTTGTCCAAATGACGTGGGTTCCCTGTTTAGCCCAGCCAGGCATTTTGAAGGAAGGTGCGTATTTACCTTCTTTTAGTGTGGATATGCTGATGAGTGAGAGTGAGAATATGTTTATATACAGAAGGGGGACACCGGGTAGACGAAAGTTGCTTTATCCGGTGTAGGTGTAGGGGGTAGCCGTCGGAATGTTGGGAAAACGACACCTAAGCACTTCTTATGAGTTGTGAATGCGAAAGCATGAACGTCCAATGGAACGCCTCGGAGTTTTGTGGCGCGAGAAATGTTTTCGAGTTGTGGCAGAAGCACCGGCGACGATGTGGATGGTAGAGGCGGCGCCATGTTCGTCGGCGGCGAGACGAGCAGAAGCACTGCCGACGATGTGGATGATGGAGGCGGCGCCATGTTGGTCGGCGGCGAGACGAGAAGAAGCCTCCGAGCGCACGCCAACGTGTCCGTTTTAACCGGTGCGGGGCCCGCAGTGGCATGGGGTTGCGGCGGTTATTTTGATCGGCGCGCTGACGGCACGGACACGCAGCGCCATCTGGCGGCGGTCGTTGAAACTGACTAGCGCAGCGGCCAATGGAATCCTCGTCGCCGCGCGCCAGCCAATGGGACCTTTGGGGTCAGGGAAACTAGGTGCCGTTTTCGCGCTTCAAACTGGTGACGTCGGCTCGCTCCATGAGACCCCAGTTAAAGCTTTCGCATTAAAAAGGGGAAGTGGTTATATTTATTTGGCTAGCCCAAATAGATATAACCGCTTCCCCTTTCAAAAGCGGTGGCTGTCGACACCACTTTTGAGCCCCCACAAAGATTTTCCTGTCTGAAGGATCTTTGTGGGGTAGCCCAGTCTTCATAAATTTCTGGTGCGAGTTCGGCGGCCAGTCTTGACATCGCTTCCTGTCTTTTTCCTGTGGTCGCTTGACAGTCCCAGATAAGATGTCTGCAGATAGCCGGTACATGGCAGACTCTGCAGTTATAGGTCAGGGCCCGGGTCATCTTACAATGTTGGAGTGTAAAAACGCTTTTGTAGAACTGGTCTAAAGCGCGAAACACATGTACGACGAAACCTTCCGATCCGACGTGCGGACTGCCGGAATAGCCTTGGGGGGAGAGGGTGTTCGTAGCATCGGAGAGCGTTGAAAACCCTCGCCTCCGACCGTCGTATTGCGCGGTCAGACGTCGGATCGGACGGTTTCGTCGTACATGTGTTTCGCGCTTAATGGCCGTGTTGGTAGCGAGGTGCCGGAGGCACACCCGCTCCCACCGTGAGTATTTTGATGGGAGCGGGTGTGCCCCGTTGTTCGGCAGCGCCAGATGTGTAGGGAATTTTATGACAGTGTGAAATGCGGGACATTTTTAAGATTTTGATATTTCTTCCGGGACGCGAGACAGTCCCACGAGTCGCGGGACGGGTGGTCACCCTAAGCTCGACACCCTTCCACTTGGAACTGCGGTCAGAATTCTGAAGGGAGCAGCGTCTTATGGCCACATTCTAGGGCCAGCGCCTTAAAGGCCGCCGTACAGTTCGCGCTTTCCACTTTTTCTGCGTTTCCTCCTCTCCTGCCCTCCTTTCCTCCCTTCACCGCCCTCCCCCCCCCCCCCCCCCCCTGTTTACCGCCCTCCCCCCCGGGGGGACAACACGGAGAATGGATTAGGAGACGCCTCCGTTAATCCGGCCTAACCCGCCGAAGAGGGGGCCTGCTGCTTGACCAAAAATTATTTCGCTGCCCGAAAAAACAAAAAAACAAAAAAGAAAACGCCGCGGGCAGCGACCGATTGCGCTAAGCTGGTATGCATTGGACTAACATTTTTCGAAGCGCGGCAGGCTTAGTGTAGGTCCTATCATATGGTCCTGCAAGACTTCCCTGTCCGCCACAAGCTAGCCAATAATTCAAGAACATAACGACGGCAGCGTATTCAAACAGTGTAAACAAAAATGTATATAATATTTATAAGAACACCGTTGTCTTCACTGCTTGGCTTTCAAATTTTTAGCGTTGCCAATAATCGTAATCAAACTATTTTTATGAAGACCCCTCGTCGTGCATCGACCCCAAGATTACGCTTACGTGAAACATGATTCTGCGTGGGAGCAACTCGAGTCACCGTAAACTTTTTTTTTTCAACGTGAATTTTGCTTTTTAATTTAGCTGAGGTACCACTGGCAGAACACGAATCGCATACTTGGAAGGTATATACCGTCTGAAAACTCATATAGCTGGTTGAGTGAATGCAATACTATCGCATTCGTTGAAGCTTGATTTGTTGATTCGAACTTCAATAAATCACACGCACCCATTCTCCCTATTCCTGTTTACCCAGTCATAGTCGTTCCCTCACGATGCAATACGAGTACAAGTAACGGCAGTTTCTGCAATGTTGACGATACACAGCCGTGATCGCACGGTTTTTAGAAGCGCTGTAGAACGAGCACAAGCGTCGAATTCCACTACACTGATTGATTTCTATCTCACCGCCGTGACGCCACACGAGAAAAACGATTTCGTTCTGTCTGTGAAATTAGGAACACAGAAATCAAGCTGTAATCCCGGTGATAAAACAAAGCGAAATGGATCTCTGCAGCCAATACCCAACCGTTTGCGAGGTGACTAGGCGAAAGCGTATAGCCAGCCGGCAATGGCCAGGCGGCGCCAGCAGGGTGAGAGCGCACGGTCATACCTTGCCTCGTTGTAACTTGGCAAAGGGTGAACGATAAGCCACACATTGCGTGCCGAAGGCTTCGAAATGCGCGACGTATACGAGCGCAACGCGCACATATTGGAGCATGACGCAGCGAAAAGCCTGATACCTCTCCGGAGTTGAGGCGCGCTCCGGTGATAGGCAGTCACGTTCCGACTGGCCCGCCAGGGCCGTAGCTTCCGCTCTACTGGCACGTTACGCGAACACAGCTTCCTGGGATACCCAGTATTTCTTGCTTCAGACACTAGGCTAAACGGCGCCACCAGAGAGAAAGCTCACGTTTGAACAATGCAGCCGCCACTCTAAGGGGTACCCAATATTTTTAGCTTTAGTCCCCAGATGGCGCCAAACCAAACAGCATTGCAGGTTGCCTATATTACCTCCGTGCCTTTGCCCTCTGCACACCGCCAGAGAGAGTCATACAAACTCCTTGTAGCTATTGTCAACACGATTGCGTTTGCAAGCCGGTAGTTTGACTCGGCTGGGATTCGTCCCTTTCTTAGCTCTCTATGAAACCAGAAAGGTAGATACTTTTTTACATTGGGTGGGTTTGCCCGGGGCCTCCAGTTATTTACGGCCAAAATCACACTGGAGGCGCTTCAGCAACGTTCACTCTGGTCGACACACGTGCACTCTAAAAATGCCAGTCGTCTGCCTTCCCAAAAGATACTTGAAGAGCCAATCATAGAAACCGACGGATAACGAGGCCGAAATTATGCTTATGCCTCAAAACAATTATAACACAAATATTGCCTCGTCATTCCCAAACTGGTTGCCGGACGA